TTGTTGTACTTCGTTCAGTTACGTATTGTTAATAATTTTTGGTATGTTACTTTCGAAGAAAAATATTGAAGATTATTTATAGGTTAAAAACATTATTTTCCAAAGATGTCTAACTGAAAAGGAGACAAAACTAGCCATGTATTTTTTAAAATATTCTGGTGATGCAAATTTCTGCGAGTTTTGCGTTAGATCTACGGCTTGTGTTTGAAAACAACGATGTTATTAATGGTTTTGGGTACCTATAGAAACGGCGTACAGTACGTCTATCTGTTCTGTAGCTACGAGGTATCCGTGAGGGGGGAAACGATATTCTCGATGTTTTTCGTAAAAGAATTAGACGACGCGTCCCATCAATAAAATTCGACAAATTTGCAGAGTAGCCAATAAAATGAGGTGGGCGGAGCGATTTGCGGTGACGTTACTCGTCAAGTCGACGTATAAAATAAAAGTTTTTGTCCGCATTCCTTTCATAGACACAGATCCAGCAGACGTACTTTACTAAATATACATGTAGGTATATCATTTTAATTAAAATACATAGATTAAAACTTTGCTGAAATTATTTTTAGTTTTCTAATTTAAATTAAAATTTATTAGGGAAGTAACTGTGGCAACGCTGCTTCAGGAAGACTGATTTTTCAACTTATATGTTTAACAGTGTTGCTGCGCGGTGTTTGTGAACTTTGTGTTTTTCAAAGTAATTTTACTGAAAGTAATTTATAGAAAACTATTTAAATCTTTATAAAGAGTATACCATTAATTAAATATAACACCATTATTTCGCCATATACTAATGAATGACATACTTAATTGTGTTCGTTAATAGAATTATTATAAATAAATGTGGATTTTAGAGTCAGTTGTTGTTATAGAAATAAGCATTTATTAAAATATCATTTTTAAGGTGTTACTTTTATCCACACTGTCTAATGCCATACAAAATTCGCGTTTAGCTAAAATACTCCGTGTGTCATCTTGGTGAACAACCCTGTATATATATATATATATATATATATATATATATATATAATAATTATATATAATAATATTATAAATCAAAGATTTAAATTTTAAAAAAATTAAAAATGGCACGCCACTTGTAAACCGAAAAGACAGAACAGCGTTGTCATATTTATACACTCATCTCTTTTAACTTACAAAAGTGTTAAAAGTATGTATCGTTGTAAACAAATGGTGTTTTATGAATGGAGTATTGTGTCTCTCCTTTAGTTAGATGTCTGTTATTTTCTAAGATACATTTCTTTTTTTTTTTTTGATATGTATACTTTAATTTTTATAAAACAAAAAAATTGATTTTTTAAAAAGCAATATGAACATGGTGCCTTTTTGTGTATAAGGTGTGTTTTGAAATTAGTAATGTACACTTGCAAGAAAATATAGACTGTTATAGGAACAAAATTGTTGCGTAATTATACATAAAATTTTTCGTATTTTTTTATTGAAAATATTTCAGGAAACTGTCAATGTATTCATTATAATAAATAAAATCGTTTCTTTTTGGTAAATTATTTTATTTTCTACCAGGAAAATAACTTTGATATTATGTAAAGTTTTTTTTTTTTTTTTTTTTTTTTTTTTTTTTTTTTTTTTTTTTTTTTTTTTTTTTTTCTTTAATTTTTTTCCGTGCATTATAAACCAGAGTTATAAACATAAGAACATCCCCCCTTTAGAACTTCGTCTATGATGTTAAGAAATGAGAGTAAATAAAGCGCCTCTCGTGTTTGTTCGCACACTAAAAATTTCAATTAATGCCTGTATATATTTTTAATTGTAAAAGTATTATATTACATTTTAAATGGAACATATTACATAACAATAATGTCAATTACAGGATTACAAGCTTGTTTTCTAATATTTTTTTAAATACAAAACATTTTTTTTTATAAAATTTCAATATATGTATATTTGTCGTAGGTATGAAAAAGTAAAATATAAAATGGACAAGAGCAACTTACTTACATTGAATAAAACTTCCACTTTTAGTTTTGCAATCCAAACACAATGTTCTATTTCACAAAATAAAATATCCAAACAACACTAAAATCACTGAAATTTCCGCGGCTGACAAGCGAAAACTGAAAATATAAGCAGCACTTTTTCTTTTGGACCTGCATATCAACATTACGCTTTCAATACTATTATGTTTTGTTATTGAAATAATATAAAATATCTAATTATAACTTGTAAATTTTAATATTTTAACATGATTTTTTAACTTCTTCTGACAATAACTAACTTTTGTTATCAAGATGACATTTTAGACGGCAACTGACATATATGTCATAATATTTTGAATTTTAAATATGTATATAATATAATTTAAATTAATATAATGCAACTTTTATACTAAGGAAAATATTTATACATTCACAAAATACAACAAAGATCTAATAATATAGTTTAGAAAACAATGAATATTGAAAGTGCGACCTCTTGTGAAAGTTAAAGGTACTACTTGTTCTTAACTTTTTAGAAGAAGTTACATTTCAATTGGAGTAAGTATATCTAAGTTTTGTTTAAACGTTATTTAACAATAACTAACTCCTTTAGTATTTTCTATTCAGTTATTTAATGGTATAACAATTGTTATTTCCCTTCAGTATCTTAGAAATGTAAGTCACACCTTTTCTTTGTTAACTATCACTGATTTCTTTGTTATCTATTACTGACGTCAGTGATAGTTATAGTCTGCCCAACGATAGGACACATGACAATGACAGTTGTGTCTGTCATTTTTGTTCACAGGTAAACTGTATTTTTCTGTCATTTTTGGATATCGTCTGTCAAAATCCTTGAATAAAAGATTAAGAAAGGGTATATCAAAAATCTTAGATTCAACGCAACGGGCTTCTAAAATGGGCAAAACGTGTAAAAATATGATGTAGTGTAGTTATTAGTGTAAATGTTGGTAGTTATTAAAATTGTTATAAAATATATAATTCTAATAAAAATAGATAAGTTATAATTATTTATTAACACAAACATCGATACGCTACTGAAGCGTAAAGTCAAATTGACATTATCTAAATTCTTATGCCACAAGTTCCTTCAAAATTTACTACTGCTAAGAAACAACTATCAGTAGTAGAATAAATGAAATAACTTTGAAAATAAAGCTCAGTAAAACTTCACGAAAATTTCAAATCAAAATTCCCAGATGTGTCAAATGAATCGTCACACTGAACTGTCAAGTTCAACCAATCTTTTTATTCAAAGATCCAAATCTTCCCTGACTTTTTGGACAGAATTTAATAAACGGACAAGTATATAACTCCACACGAAAACTAAAACTTTTAAAATAATTTTAATTTACTTAAAAATTACAACCCTTAACTGCATTTGTTTACAATCATACGGTGCCCAAACAGACCCGCTAAAGCTCCTACTCTTACAAAAAACGCCTAGACCTTTCTCGCTTATAGAAAAAACTTGAGGACTGCGCAGTATTAATCAACAAACACGGAAAAAACTGTATAGCTAGCAAAAGCAAGCGTTTGTCGAAATGGCAACGCGCGGAACAGACCTACGTTTAGTTTACTTCGCAACAGCCGCGGACAGATGGCGCCGGTTCAGTTCATTTCGGTGCTGGCCAAAGGCACGCCCACCAGGGAGACTGTCAAGTTTTTGACGTGCGTTTGCCAGGTCGAGCTGAGCTGGAAGAATTTGACGCCTGCAAACTCCACACCGTCGATATAAAGCTGTAAAGAAAACATTACATAACTTCAAAAAATCTAAAAACAGTAGAGTCTATCGTTGTATAGTGTTCCTCAAATTACAAAAACTCTTGCTTTTGACGTAATAGTATAAACGTCAAATTATTTATCAACCTTTTCATAGTCTTAGTTTAATGTTTTTTTTCTATAATAATTATTAATAATGAGCACTGATAAAAGATTAAATTTAACGTTCCTAATTTTAAATTTGTCTATGAATTTATAAATGCAGAACTATGTAGAATGTGGATAACATGGGAGGTTGCAACACTGCAAGGGTTTAGATACACCGTAGAGAAATCTCAGGTGAATAAACAAGTGGCACTAAAAGTTTTTCAAATTTCCCGGAAAATGTCAAGAAAAATTTTTAAATTTTCAACATTTTTTTTTCGCAAAAACCTCATAGGCGTGTTTCACAGGGGGTTGAACTATACTACCAGTTAAAATATTTGCACTTATTTCTAGGACACCCTGTATATTAATAAATAATTCATTTTGTTTCTTAAAATATTTAGATTAAAAGAAAATATGTAAAAGATCAGCAACGCTGTGCACTGGTCAAGCTTAGCCACGTGACTAAAAGTTTATTCGGTATGATCTATAGTCGGCTGGGTTAAAAAATATCGATTTTTATTGACGTACCTCTCATAGGGACAGTATGCGAAGCCCTGGCAGAGCATATCAACCTGGACACGCCTTCGACACTCTGACTCCGAGGTTCAGAGTCTTTTTCCTTCTCTTTCTTCTTGCCCAGCCTCATAACTAGAATCAAAATATACAGGAATAAATTTAATTCCCCGCCTAGAGTAGTATTAACTTACTTTTCTGTTTTTTCTCTTTACTGGCCATGTGCATATTGACGCACAGGCCAGCATTACTGCTCGGCGACGCTTGCAAGCCCCTGAAAACTCCCTTCAGTGACGTCTTACCGTCCTGCTTAGTTTTGTCTTTGTCAGTCTGTCACAGAGAAGAAAAATATATTCCGGCGACCTCTAAGTCTCCATTCTAAATCTAACTCGAAAAGTAACTGTTTTGGAAGCCTCTTTCAAAAATTCACAAGTCCTGGCATAATGTCCTTCCAGATTTGTACACACAGCAGAAAGTCAACCATTAATTAAAGCAAGAAAACACGAAATAACCACGCAAAAGGGCGCTGAACTATGATTATACGCACCATATTTAGTATACTGGACTTACCTTTATGAGGTTTTCATTGAACTTGGGCATCTGCCAATAGTCGATCTGTAATTCTAACGGTTCCCATGGAGATTCCCTCACTTGAACGTTTGGGGAGGAGGGCGGGGTTAGTGAGGGAGCGGGGGGACTGGAACAGATGTCGTCCATATCCACAGATACTGAGAGAACGTGGTCTGCAGGACCAACTCTTACTTCCTACCAGAGATAAAAAATATTTTTTTTATTCTTTGAAAAATAAAATAAACTACTTTAAAATTAAAATGACAGACACATTGTCAAGGATTTTGTCGTTGGACACACTATATGTTACTTAGTTTTTAATTCCTTTTGTATTACAGTTGTTTTATTAAATAGTTACAAGAGAGTTTTTCTTATTTTGATTATCAAAAATTATAAAAAAAAAACAGTGTGTGCACTTGAAATGAAACTTCTTACTAACAGCTATTAAATTGAAGAATTTGAAGAACATGTTTGAAAAAGCAACATAAATAATGCTATTTTCATATAAATATTATTTTCAATTTATTTTTGTAATTTGTACATTTTTTGTTTCGTTAATAGCTTGCAAATTTTGTAGAATACCAGCCAAAATACACACTTTTATACAAATGTCTAATAATGTTAACGCTTTTTTTAACGAAAAATTTTTGAACCTAACCAACAATTCGTATTTATAGTGGTTTACAGTCATTTTGTTAAATTATGTGAATATTCTCGTCGATTATTGGTTTAAAATAAATATGACAATGTCCTCCAGTGAAAATGCGAGTTGCTTAACTCTAATAATCCTAATTCTGAACTAGCAAATGAGCTAGATGCTTTACCTAGACCGTTATTCAGAAGCTACAAACCTATAGATGAAAATATGCATGAAAATTTACTTCCTAGCACACAACCAGATGATATTTGTTTATAACATGTTTTATAAACAAACATTTTAAAACAAGTAATGGTATAACACAATTAAAACACTTGATTTTGAGCAAAATATTTAACACATAACAACACTGTTTAATGAAGACAATAAAGAGATGAATACTTACATTAATAAATGGAATGAATAACTGACTAGTCTCGTCGTAACATGTCAACATAGCTTCGCCAATAGGAAGTTGAGCCAGAGGAGCAGTGATAGGGACAGAAGTATATCTAACTAATCTGAATAAGATAATAAAAGTCAGTATATAATTCTATGGTAATCGCAAAATAATTTTCGATGCACATGATCAACCTTGAGTGACTTTAAGGATTCATAGTTTTAGAGATGTCGATTTTCGAAAGAAATCAGTACATGTATATTATTTCGTATATTTTTCATTTTATTGATTATATGGAAAGCACTGTTCATTAAAACGTTGTATCCTATGTTATAGGGTTTGTGTCTCTCTACAATTTCCTGTCTCACAATGTACCGTTTGTGTCCAGGAAGGGTTCATAGTTTCGTAGATGTCGATTTTCGAAAGAAATCAGTACATATATATTATTTCGTATATTTTTCATTTTATTGATTTTATGGAAAGCACTGTTCATTAAAATGTTGCATCCTATGTTATAGGGCTTGTTTCTCTCTACAAGTCTCTGATGGCGCTGCCAGATTGTGATGGATTTATGAGATGAATCTTAATTTAAAATTGACAAACAATATATTTATTACCTATATAATATTACCTATAAGATTTTTACGTTTTATGTTTAATTTAATAACTAATAATTTAGTAATTAATTTATTAACTTATTTTACTTATTACATATTGGCAAAAAGATCTTTATTCTCACGTTCTCGTTCAAAATAGTTTATTAGGGAAGCTACCTCTTTGCTTTGACTGTTTTTTTTTATTAAATGCTTCAAACAAATTTCAAAAAATACAATACAAAAACTCGAAAAATAAGTTCTTAAAAGAGAATTTGTGCTTAAAAGTACGATTAAAAAAGACTATGAAAACAGGCAAAAAACGAGAATTACTCATAAAGATTCAACAACGCGATATTATCCAAAATAATGACTGACATTAGGATAATTGTCAAATAATAAACGACAACGTTGCTGACCACGGCGCAATGTGACCAACATAGCGATAATAAAATTCGGTTTAAACTAAATTTCGCAGCTTTAATCTAAATAAAATATCTGTTACAATCATTTGCTCTATAAAGTAAAATGGAGAGCTGCTCGGAATCTTAAATTATACAACAAATTTAAACATTTTTGCCAAAATTTCATTTCGTCAGGTTTACAGACTTTAGTGTCAATGTCGATATGGTTGATGACGTGCATCGGAAAATGTTTTGCGATTACCGTATGTAGTGTATTACCTGGGTATTTTATTTCAAGAACAACAAAAAACACTTGAATAAACATATAAAAAACTTTAAAACCCCTACAGATTTATTTATTTCTCTCATACTATAAACATAATTGAACTAACCTTTGAGCAATATCGTCTCCCTTTGGATCGTTCTCCGCAGGGAACAAAGTCATATAGCCGCTGTCCAGCGTTGCCAAATGGCGCGACACGCCGCTGTTACCGAGCGGAACGACAAAGAGCCGCGTGTACGACAGCCAATCGGATGGTTTGCTGCTCAGCATCTCGACGTAGGGGCGTACGAACCATCCGGTTAGGACATCGCCACCGACTAGCACGATTTTGAGGGGTGTGCTGGGTTTAGCGCAGCTATTACAGCTAAAATTAGAGGAAAAAATATTATTTTAATTACGTAGTGGCAAAGAGACCGATAGCCACGTCAAAAATCTAATCTAATGATAATAATAAAAAATTTTAATCTGCTTTAAAACTTACTATTTCTGTATTTTCGAAAACACGGCCGTTAAGACTGCTTTCACCTCGACAGAGGACGTTGGATGGAACACTTTGTACGTCTGGAATGAGCTTAACCTATTGGTAATGGTGGCGGCCATCGCCTCGGGTCCTGATATCAATACTACGCAGTCTGGAAGCAGGTTCTCCTCGACGGGCAGCAGTCTGGATATTTGTTCCATGAAACCTTTTCTTACCTATAGCAGGGTTGAATAAGAAACATGCGATTTTTTTTTGGTTTAAAATAGTTTTTATTGTTTTTTTTAGATTGAGGTGATTACTTTGTTTTTTATTCCCCTTTTATATTACGATTTTTGTTTTTATTGAATAATTGAAAGAAATTTTTTCATGCGTCTGATTGGTCATAGCCTTTTTGCGCCACTTTTCATCCAGAGAAATTTCATTCGGAGAAAGATCGTACAATAACGGACATTTTGACAAGTTTAATCTAACCTTATTAAAAATATAATAATACTAGAGCTACTACCGATGAGAAAACGAGAATTTTACGAAAGCTGGTTCTTTAACATATCTTTTGCTATGCTCTCCTGACCAAAGTGCGGAACGTCTGGCTGCCGATAGACTAATGCGCATCACATGTGTACAGGGTATCCCATTTCGTGTGCTTTATGGGATTTCTCATTTATAAGTAGACATATAATGATGCGATTTTCACATTATTTTGCTACTTTCTTATAAAACTAAATACGCTACACATAGGTTTGTCCTAGCCTCCTTAGTTCCTAAAATACAGGACGAATTTGTGATGCGCAGTAGTGAACGCAATGTCTACCGGCAGCCAGACGATCCACACTCTGTTCAGGAGAGCATAGCAAAAGATATATTAGAGAACGAGCATTCTTAAAATTCTCTCTCGAAAACGTTACTAGCTTTTAGACTATAAGTAAAACAGCGAAATCGTTACGGAAATTAAAATATAAAATGACATTAATCGCAAGCAAATCGTATATCCTATGAACGGAGGCATGAAAATGCAATAAATTTAAAAACTGCGTAATTTTCTAACCAATGAAAGTCTTTAAATTCAACCAATAAAATTAATATGGCATCATCGTACCGTCGGACAACGGATGCATGAAAATCAAGCTTTACTTTTAGAAAAATCCACAAAATTTCAAAACAAATTCAAATGTGTCAATTAAAATGTCAAACACAACTGTCAAGAATGAAGATTACTCTTTGAATAAGAAGACTAAGGAAGGAGCATATCAAAAATCTTAGGTACACCGCGATGGGCCTCAAATATGGCCGATTTAAATTCCGGTTTATCAGTGTCGTTCTAATTTTATTTAAAAAATGTAAAACTATGATGTAGGGTAGACGTGGGGTAGACTCAATAATTTGTTGTTTTATTTTACGTTGTGAATAAATGTTGGTAGTTATTAAAATTGTTATAAAAATATATAATTCTAATAAAAATAGATAAGTTATATAAGTATTTATTACCACAAACATCCGATACGCTACTGAAGCAGGTAAGTCAAATTAACGTATCTAAATTCTTTGACATCTAATCTTTGACAAGTAATAAATAAAAGCTAAAATGCAAGAAAAATATATAATTTAGTTAATTTAAGTGAATTTCATAAATGATCGGTTTACTACATGTATGTATATTACATAGTCACTTACTAGCGAAAAGTTGTTCCATTATTTCACTCAATATTTGCCGAGATCTACCGCACGCTACAGAACCAACTATTTTAGAGTCTTTTTCGATAAATCGCGATAGTGTCACTGTTAATTTAAGTGCTGCCACAATTTCCATCTAGATTTACTACCTTTATACAACTATCAGTAGTAGAATAAATAATAAATAACATAAAATAAGCTCCGTAAAGACTGACAAATCCACAAAATTTCAAATCAAATTCAAATGTGTCAAATGAATCGTCAAACAGAACTGTCAAGGATCCCCACCCTAGAGAGCTTTTATGGCGCTTTTTCCGCCCACCATGCATGAATACATGGATAGCATTATGCTCCTTCCTTAGTCTTCTTATTCAAAGGGATTACTAAGGCTCCGCGCGCACTGCATCGGATCGGACCGACCAGCAAAAGCGACTGCGACCATCGTACATATAGACGGCGTCGGCGTCCACTAAAACATTTCGGCCTGTAGAGGCCAGATTCCTACCTCTACCTATCTACGATAGTCAAGTCACCGCCTTCGCCGTTTCTAGCCGGACTGGTACCGATTCAGTGCGCGTACACCTTAAGGGTGTATTCCGTTGCTTACCTTGGTTATGGTTTTATGTTCCGTTTCTATGGGTTTCCTGAAAGTTTTCTTATTACGGAACACAGTTCCTGAAAAATTCGGTTATAACTGTCACCAAATTAACCAGCGCGAGAAGGCTGGTTTTTCTGGTTTTGTTTGTCAATCAATGTCATTTATGTGACAGAAATCAAGCAAATATTGGAAGTTCGAATGAAATTCTCATTTAATTTCTAAAACTTGTAATAATATTTTGTATTTACATCCAAAAGCAATGGAGGTAGGCAGTAAAGGTAAATAAATTTCATTAACTAAATAGAATTACTTTTTAGGACCATTTAAACTTATCATGCAGTCATTGTTTCTTAAAGTCAGGAATATTTAAAGAAAATATGAAAAACAAGACAACAAGTAATCGTGAGTGTTTTGTAAGCTATAAAAATATAAATATTGATTAGATCTGTTTATTTATTATTGATCTGTTTTAATATTGGCCCAGCAAATCTTCACTTGAGCTGTCTAACGAGTTTAACAGTTTATTAATAAAGTACCGTATGATCGAAAAAAAACGGCGTCCAGTTGGCCGGGAAATGAGCATCAATGACATTTCCCATATAAATTTACATATAAAATGACAGCGATCTTCATTCCATAGCCATCGCTGACGCCGTTTTTTCTCGATCATACGGTACTTTTCAATATTAAACTCAATTGAAAAGAAGAAGCAAACGTAAAAGCAGAGAATAGGTACATTAAAAATGCATAAAAGATAAATTTTATACTAGAGGTATTGAAATTTAGAAAACGTCAACATTTGACGTTTCCAGTATTTTACCAAACCGTTCCGTATCAAACCAATGTTTTTCAGGAACCGCCCTTTACCAGTCTGGTTGGCCTGATTTTGCAACGGAATACACCCTAATAATGTCGATTCCATTTGTGCATGAATACCATTAATAGCATTATACTCCTTCCCTATTTTTTTATTCAAAGCAATTGGCTGTTCAATCTGTAACCATAATATGTTTAGGAGTGACGTAAACAATACTTACAGTGATTTCTGGAACAGGTACATCCGAACTGACGCTCAGCGAGTTTTTCTTTTTAGCCGAAGACGCCGAAGTCCTAAACAACTTCGATTTTTTCTCGCTGATTTCCTGCATTATGTTGCTAAATTCACTTTCGCCCTATTAGAAACACACAGAAAAACGATGAGTACCGAATAAACACGATGAAACCCGATCTTACAGTCTGTTTTCTCGACCCAGCTGACTGTTCTCTTGGAGGTGATCCTGTCTGAGGGTCGCTCTGCCCTTCTGGGTCGGTAAAACAAACATCTGCATTACCGTCACTACCCGAAGCTGTTTTCTCCTCTCCCACCTAAGAAACGGGAGAATTATCTTCTTATACAGGGTGGTCCGAACTGTATTCCGGAAACTTCGACAGCATATTCTAAAGTTCTAAAATGCTTAGTTTCGGAGATACAGGGTGTAGAAGTTTCATTTTTATTTCGATTTTTTCCAAATAATTTCTGAAGTAACGTCAATATTTGGATGAAAATTGGTGTGTGGGAGTTTTTTGACACGAGCAATTTGATTTTGATGTTGATATGCCCCCTACTTGTAGAGGGCGCTACCTACATATTTTTTAACTGTTTCGAAGAGTAATAACTTTTCGTCCGTACCTGTATAAAACTACTGAGTAAAAAAATATACATTTACGACATTTTTTCCATAAAAAAGGCCTCTTGGTAAAAATCGCTACGAGTAATGTTTGTGGAGATATTTGGAATCGAAATTATCAATATCTGTCATTATTGACATAAATTAAACATGTTGATTAAATAGTTATTAGACTGATATCATAAAATTGAAATGTTTTTGTGCCAAAAATTCAACAGAAACTGTTTTATCATCATTTTTTGCAGCAAAATTTATGATTAATTTAAAATAAAAATTTTCCAAATTTATTATTTCAGTCAAATAACTATCTACTCAACGTGTTTATTTTTTGTCAATATACAGGGTGTCTCAGATTTTAATCGGGAAAATTTAATAGACGATAGAACTTGCAAAAATAAAACAAAAGTTCCTTATCAACTTGTAGTTAAAGCTTCCTTTTGAGATACAAGAGTACCATTAGAATACTAATTATAATAGTAATTACCAATTAGAATTTTTTTTTTTGCAAGAAGTAAGCAAGATAGACACAAAAGTCAGGAGACAAAAATAATATTTTTAATTACTAGATCCAAAATAATATTAAACTTTTTAAAAAGCAGTGGCGTGCCTATTTTCCTTTAAAATAATTTAACAGTGACAATAATTTAACAGACCGCCCCTGGCCATTAAACTGAAATCTAATTACATCAAATTAGGTCCCATAGTAAGTATTATAAACGGGTCAAGTTATATCAAATTCGATTAAATAGTTTTCAAATATCTTATTTTTTTTTTTCTTTTTTAAGTAACTTTAACACCCTGTATCTCGAAAGGCTTGAAATCTTACAAGTTGATATGAACTTTTGTTTTATTTTTGCAAAGTTCTATCGTCTATTAAATATTCCCGATTAAAATCTGAGACACCCTGTATAATTAACATGTATTGACTATTTCCATTCTAAATATCTTGAGAACGGTTGCTCGTAGCGATTTTTACCAAGAGACAGTTTTTACGTAAAAAAGCACGGAAATGTATATTTTTTCACTCAGTAACTTTATACAGGTACGGACAAAAAGTTATTACTCTTCAAAACAGTTAAAACACATGTAGGTGTGGCGCCACCTACAAGTAGGAGTCATATTGGCATCAAATTGTCAAAAAACTCCCAGGCATCAATTTTCATCCAAAATATTGACGTTACTTCAGAAATTATTTGGAAAAAATCGTAATAAAAATGACACTTCTACACCCTGTGTCTCCGAAACTAAGCATTTTAGAACATACATTTATTCGTTTGCCTTTTTAATCTGGGAATATGCTATCGAGATTTCCGGAATACAGTTCAATGGACCACCCTGTATAATATTCAGTTTAACTGACTATGAACAGAATTTCACACAAAACTGATGAATAAGTTTTCAACACAACAATCAGAAATTACACATTTTTGCAAAAATTTAATAGGTGTACTTCCGGGATCAAAATATACTACCATCAGTTACATACTTGCACTTTTTTGGCAGACCCCACCCTGTATAAATATATTAAACCTTTTAAATTTTTGTTCTTAAAAATTAATGAAATATGCTCAAGAAAATACATACTCCACGTTGTTCCTTCTTGAAAATGACAAATTACCTATACACTGAACAAATAAAAAGAAACGTACCCTGTCAGCTTCGATATAAGGTAGATTATTCGAATCCAACAGACTCTTGCTGCTGCTGAAAAAAGGGCGTAGACTAGGCTTGGGAGTGCTGGATATCGACATGGTGTCCTGTTCGTTTCCCGAATCCTCCTCGCAGCTCAGCGATCCTAGCTCGTGGAACAGAGCCTGGATATCGCTAGGGTTGTCCAAGTCAGCACCCCGGCCTCCTAGATGATTAAAATAAGAGTCTGAGTATTGAAAAGGCCATATTTCAATACATCATGACCATGCAATCATGAGGTCCAACCAAACCCTAGAGTCCTCTTTCCGTTGATTATACATGAATACATGGCCTATACTGCCTTAAATAATAATCTTTATATTCAAAGCAAAGTAGAATTCTTTAATTTATTTTAAGTTAGTTAAAACAAAGTTATAGCAACAGGAACCTGATATCGCACATAACATAAAATTTATTCACTAATTTTTTATTGCATACTTGTGTAAGTTGAATGATTGCATAATAAAATTAAGAACTGTACAAATAATATGGGTAATAGAAATAATATTACAAATTTGGAACACCTACTTTTATGCCTTTTTTAATCTTGCTTACTTGAAATTACATTTATATTATGGGGAAATACAAAATTTTTGTTTTAAATTCAATGGACAGATAAGAATCAATAATAATAAAATTATATTCAATGAATAAATAGAAATATTGAATGAAAGAAAATTAAAAATGATTACCTTCTGAATCTGGAACCCTGAAGCGTTTCAGCAAAGAGACGAAACGTTGCTTCAGGTTGTGCCTGGTATGTGGATGCTTCGTTCTGATTGGTTCGCTGTCAGACAGGTCGCCTGCTTCCTCTTCGCCAGAAGATATTTCGTCATCATCATCACTGAAAAACGAAGAAAAATATACTGTTCACTCTGTTTTTGAAAAAATTTACAATCTTAATATTTCAGTTCTAACGCTTAACAGGGACTTCAAATAGGTCAAGGCAGCTGTCAATTATCAGTAGTGGTGTTTTACAAAAGCCGCTGTTTGTATATTTTCTTCCAGTAGCAAAAATACCGAGACTTCTTTTCAAGATATAAAATTATGCTAATAATAATATACTAGATTTTGTAATACCCTGTATAAATGGAAGTATACAATACAAAACAGAGTGTACCTGTTTCAATTTTTAAGTAACTACATATAAATAAATAACTATATAACTTTTTTTCGTCGGATGTAAAAAGGTTCATTATATTGACCTATTTTTTATTTTAATTTCTCTATTTTCCCGTGAATCGTCAATTCCAGGAGAGAAACAATTTCGTGATCAACAAAATTCATCATTCATTACTCAATTACACAACAGCATAATTACCAGTATTAATTATTCCTTAATGTAGGCGTAACTCGCTCTTTCACTAGAATTTTGATATATTTTTTAATTGATTAAATCCTAGAGGCATAAAGAGAATATTATCATTTTTTGTTTAATTTACAATTTAAAAAATAAAAATAAATATATTTTTTGATCAAAAATCGATAATAATTATTATTCCAAGTTCAAAACCAAATCGCTTATAAAAATTGACTATAAAGTACCCTAATGCCAAAATTCCAAACACAGAGTGCTTTGATTAAGGCTTCCAGAGCTTCAGCATTTTCCATAAAATGGCGAGCAATTTGTTACAAAACCATATAAATTATATATCATGTAATCACAAAACTTCAAGTTGTTTCCATTATTGTAACTTGGAATTTTTAAATTATGTCTTTATTTTCGAGAAGATTTAGTTCAAATATAAGGAATATTTGTTGATGTTTGAAACCATCAAAATCTTAAAAATACAAAAAGGATTGTTTAAAAATGTGCTACAATACGGATATATTATAATCCTTTATCTTTAATTTCTTCCTTCATTTGTGTAAAATACCTAGCCAGTTTTACATAAAACGATAAATGCCGAAATGGACTCTTAATGGACTAAGAGTTGAAGATCTTCAAACTCCAAAGGAAATAATAATAAATTAGTCCTTTTGTTTACTAGCCAATGAGGAAACCAAAAAAATGTTTTTGGAATTGGTTAACATCTAAAGATTGATTAAAAAGTATCAATAATAAAAATGTTTGCTATAGAATAAAATAATATAGGTTTGCTTAGCAATACGTAACTTGCA